TAAATTTTTTTTTTTTTTTTTTAAAATAAATCCCAATCCCAAATTATTTGGGTTGTTATGATGTAAGAAATCAGCGTCCTAAAGTTATTTGATTTCTTAGGGCCATGGAGCTGTATCTAAGCAGTACCTGGTGAGTCTCTCCCCTTGTTGCGGTTTTGATTTTGGATTTGACGATTTCCTTACCCTTACCCTTACCCTTACCCTTTCTGTTGCAAGATTGAACCTCAGAGTTAAGGTATGGGTGGTTGGCAGGTGCTCTGGTGTGGTTTGCTCCTTCTTTCCTATCAAACAGCTATCGTCCGTATCTCTCCTCCTTCTTTTCTTTTTATGTTACTCTCTAGTAACACCTCTAATCTTTGGCACTTATTTGACCTAATTGGTTTGCAAGTACTCTAAAACTCTAACTAAACTAAAATTAAAGTAAAGGGTTTTTTTCTAAGTACTTGGTGGTTTTGTTACTCGCCTGTGTTTAGAATTGGTTTCATTGGCCACAGCAGAAGCCACAAATCATCCAGCGTAATCCTTATTTCTTCTATTTCTTTTAAAGAAATATTCTTCTCTACAGATGCATTTCATATCGTCAGACATTGAGGGATGGACTGTCTTTATTATTATTTAGGCAGTGAAAAGATATCTGATTTCAAACAATGAAAAAACACAAAGCTCACCGTAAGAGTGAATCACATTACTGTGTCTGCTGCCAAGCCTCCTAATTCTTCTGTCTTTATCATGTTATCCTTCAGAACAATAGTTTTCTGTAGATTTCTTTGGAAGTTTGTTCTCAGAGACGTATCATGGTGACTGCAAAACCGGAAATCAAACCCAGAAAATCTGTCTACTAGAAGGCCTGTATTTGTTGGAAGGGTGGGAGGGGAGGGGGTGGGGAGAGAGATCTCTAAGTCGTCAGCGTAAGTTGAAGGGTCTCCTTTCTGGGTTTGATCATTGATTGTTGTGTCATCCGGGGGTTTTTTGTGTGTTTTTTTTCTTTTTATTTCCCTTCATTTTATTTGTTGTTGCTGTTGCTGTTGTTTTTGTTCTCATTGTCTGTTGATGCCTTTCAAGTCTTTGTACTTGAGCTTTATTTGTCCATAGAAGCCCCCCCCCCCTACGTCCTACGTCTGCTAGGGAAAAGAAAATGTGTCGCTTTTGTTTTTGTACCGTATTCGTGTAGTGAATCATTTAGCATGATTTGAATTCAATGTCCGGATGACATATAGGCCTAGTTCTGTTAAAGCTTTTCTATTTGTCTCATCTGATGCTGATGGGTGGCGGAAGCGTTTGTCCTTCGTGTTCCCTCACAGCCCGGGCCTGGCCCTGACAGGCAGGGTTGAAGCATGTGTGTGTACTTTATAGTAGAAATAGTATTAGTAATACCAAACGTTACTGGGCAGTTTTCTTCCTCTTAAGCGAGTTGTAACAAAATGTAGAACAACAATGTTTGCTGCCATGACTGCCTTAGACTCTAACTAACTAACAGAGTAACTAACTCTGACTATGCCTACTACAGCATATTTTATCCATATATACAGTCTAGCATGCATATATCAGACACACTTACAAAGTGAATATGCACATAGGAAACAGATTTTTGGGGCTGATTCTTTTTTTTCTTTGTATTTAAAACATGTGCTCAGCGAAATTTGTAAGCACCGGAAAGATGTTTCTATCCCGCTGACTTTTGTTATAATATGCCTGCTAGACTGTAAATGTTCCCATTGTGTTTGTCAGTAACCTTTAACCCTGCTTGCTATTGAGCGAAGACCACATTATTATCCTTCCCCATGCAGTTGTGGCCATCTTTTTTTATCACCCTCCTCCACACACTTCCTTATCCCTACAGATCGGGTTGAAACCTGTCCCATAGACATCTTTTTTTTACTTTACCTGACATCTTTTTTTTTTTTTACCTGACATTTTTTTTTTTTTTTACCTGACATCATTTTTTTTTAGCAGACATCGGGGGTTTTTTTCTAGCAGACATAATTTTCCCCCCTTTAATAGACATAATAAAGCTTTGAGCAAAATGGCAGCATAACAACCAGAACCCATGACCACGTAAGCCATGAGCAGCTCTGGCCATTTCTCTCTCTCTCTCTCTCTCTCTCTCTCTCTCTCTCTCTCTCT